TTCCAATATTTTATTTTGTTTGTGGGAGTTCTGCATGCCAAGATTGGTTCAATTCCATTCTTGGTAGAGTTCAGATTGTTCTTTGATTGTAGGTGAACTATAAATCCCAGCAACTACAACTCCCAAATGACAAAATCAATCCCTCCCATCTCCACCAGTATTCAAATTTGGGAGTATCGGGTATTTGTGCTAAATTTGGTCCAGTGAATGAAAATACATCCTGCATATTCTGATATTTACACAACGATTCATAACAGTAGCAAAATTACAGTTCTGAAGTACCAATGAAAATAATTTTATGGTTGGGGGTCACCACAACACGAGGAACTATATTAAGGGTTCCTAACTGCATTAGGAAGACACTGATCTAACACATACTAAAACAGACAGTACATAATTTAACATTTATACTTTTCTGAAGAGACAGGTCTTTATTGTGGTTTCAAATTCAAACATTGTATTCACTTAGCTGTGGTGGTGCAATTGGTTAAACCCTTGTGCTGCTGAACTGCTGACCTGAAGGTTGGCACTTAAAATTCACAAGACGGGGTGAGCTCCCATCTGTCAGTTCCAGATCCTGCCAACCTAGCAGTTCGAAAACATGCAAATTTGAGTAGATAAATAGGTACCACTTCAGTGGAAAAAGGCAAAGAGATGTTTCAAGCAATTTTGCTGACCACACAACCAGGAGATGACAACTCAGGCTCCTTGGCTTGAAAATGGAGAACACAACTCCCCAGAGCCAGAGAGGAGCAGTACCTCCAGAAGCTGGAAATGAAAGGAGAAGCCTTTGTCTTTGTATTTGTGTGTCCCTTTTGTGCTGAGAAAATGAACAAACTATTATTGTGTGGTTAATTCATTTCCTGAGCACAAATATTTATATGGCCAAAAATAATGTTGCTCACCAAATACAACATTTTCCAACTATTATTATTAGTTGGTAAATTCCTAGGAATAAAGGATGCACCACACCTGTTATTTGTAAAATCCCTTGTAAATGAATTGTGCTGTGTAAGTCAATAAGCACATAATTCAGAGGACTCCTCTGATATCTTGGAATACAATAGGTCCTTGGTAGCCACTGCGTGAAATGGCAAAATCAAGGTTTGATTTTTTGAATTGGTTGTTAATATTTTCAAGCCATGGAGGGTTGAATCTGTGCATACAAAGGGATTGCTAGATTATGTTCAGATAGTGTAGTAAATTGGTTCCCAACATCTTTGATTTGTGGAGACCTTTTTAGAAGCAATTTCTATGGCAGAGCCCTTAGGCCTTCCCTATGTCTTACAAATTAATGGTGTTTAAGAATAGCGTTACAAAGGAGATACTAAGGGGATACCGTAGTCCATCAGGGTGATGATTTTGAGTTGGAAACATGCGAGACACCAGTGCAATGGCTTAATCATGCCTGGTGGCTCATGTATCCAATGTTCTTGTCATTCTGTAACCTCAATGTCTTTCCCCCTGGAATTGCTTTTTGAAATCAGTGATATTTTAGCATATTTCTAAATTTCCGGTTAGTTCAATTGTATTTTTTAAACGTCTTTGCTTTTAAATTGTTCATCTGTCTTGCATTTTAGGTCGGGGGGGGGGGGGGGGACTACACATTAAACTTAGCAATTTCGTATAGTTTTCTCTGCCCAGCCCTAGCCTCTAAGAAAGACAATAGATGTTTGGATCTATGTACTTCCATTTGTTGAGTCACAACACTCTATTATGTCATCTTTAAAACCTAACCATTATGAGCTTTCCATGGGTAAAAAGTGAAGGGATAAAGTTAAGAAAAAACATTTTAATGTCAGTACAAAGCCAGATGTTGAGTTTTAATTGTTTGTATTTAGAGGAGCAAAACAAGATCAATCGATGACTAACCCATCATAAGCACAGTCCATTAACTTGCCTTTATTTGATGGCACAGGAAACTTAGAAATTAGGATAACGGAAAGATTAACCTTTCCTCTAACAGCAGCTTATAATGATACATAATGTTCCAGCACTATTTACTATTCCCACCCAAAAAAGGGTCAGATGAAGCTATTACAGAATCAACCTGTAGTTTGTAGTCATTTTATTAACGACCTGATTTATTTATCTATTGTGTCAGATGTGAATTGAGGGTACAGTTGTAAACTTGGCATTATATTAAATGTCCTTTGACCAGTAGCTGGCCACTTGGAGGGGCTCTGGTGTCACTGTGAGAAGATCCTCCATTGTGCATGAGGCAGGGCTCAGGATGCATTGTAGTAAGCGGTCTGTGGTTTGCACTTCTACACAAGCGCATCTCGTGGACTCCACTTTGTGGCTCTATTTCTTGAGATTGGCTCTCCATCTCATGGTACCTGATTAAAAATGAACATCACTTGATGATTGATCAGTATTACTGGAATCTGAAAAAAAGATTTTAATACATATAGTTATCAAAGTGAGGAGCTAATTTTTTTCTTTCTTTCCTCAACAAAAGTGATTACAGTTTACTTTGTGCATCTGCTCTCACATAAGAATATAACATGGGGACTTGGCAACCATAACTATAATGTGATCAAAATGGCTAGGAAACTATGCTGCAATTATTTCTTGTTGGTCACCTTTGAAATTACTTCGCTTATATATATTTGTTAATGGGAGTTCATGCTCGAGATAACTTCTTCAGCTGAGGAGGAAAATGAAAATACTCTATACCTAGATGCAGGAGGCTTCTTTCTCTTCAACATTTACTTCTGTTCTTACATAATAATACAAAAATGGAAGAGTTAAGTTCTTGTTTCTTGACAGCAAAACTATTGTGACTTTTGTGGAAATATCCATCACAAAAGTATGTGTAATAAAACAAAGTATAAATGAGGAACCTAAAATTTAAATTAGCATGCATGGCAGTGGTTTCCAACTTCTTTTTGACCAGTAAGCACTTGACCAGGAACCACTTTGACCAGGGACCACTCTCCAACATTAGTTCCAAAAAGGGTTACAAATCAGTTTTTGGTTAACTTTAGATTAGGTTAACTTTAGATAGACAAATATATAAACCCCACTTTCTTAGTTTCCAACAGACTTCACAATCTCTGAGGATGCATGCCATAGATGCAGGTGAAACGTCAGGAGGGAATGCTTCTGGAACATGGCTCTACAGCCCAGAAAACTCACAGCAACACAGTGATTCTGACCATTAAAGCCTTTGACAATACACAAACTTCTTGTTTTAATTTCTGTGCCTCGTATAAATTTCTGTGTATCTGTTGTTTTAATCATTTTTGAGGGAAACAATGCTCCTTATCATGCTCGGAACTTGTAATTATGATGGAATGGGCACCATTAATTAGATTCTGGTGATATTGCTATAATGCCTACTCAAATATAACTCATCATTGTCTCATCAAACTACAACTTCAATTATTGCATAGCATTGCGCCCTGGCAGATTAAGTGGTATCCAACTGCATTAAATTTCTAGATGCACCTTGGAGGTCTATCATTCCTAGGTTCACAAAAAGCCGAAGTCAATTTGATGGGAACAAACAATAACCTCCAAATCCTACTTTGTTGTATAAATGATGTGTTATAACTCACTACAAACAGGATCTCCTGGTGGCGCAATGAGTTAAACCCTTGTGCCAGCAGAACTGCTGACTGAAATATCGGCAGTTCGAATCTGGGGAGTGAGGTGAGCTCCCATCTGTCAGCTCTAGCTTCTCATGCAGGGACATGAGAGAAGCCTCCCTCAGAATGGTAAAACATACAGGTGTTCCCGGCCGCGAGAATTATATACGCCAAAAATTGGAAAGGAAAAGACTTACCAAGTATAGAGGACTGGATAATCAAAATTATAGAGATTATGAATATGGACTGCCTCACTCAATATCTAAGAAATAAGCAATTGAAGACACATACAGATGTTCCCTGGGCAATATCCTCTCCGTAATTCTCTCACACCAGAAGCGACTTGCAGTTTCTCAAGTTGCTCCTAACATGGAAAAAAAACTCAGTACAAATGCTAAAATGTACTAATTAAACATTGTTAATATAAAGATAAAATAGAGAAAGAAGTTTATCATAACGGGGGCCATCCGCTTTTCCAGCGAAATGCCTCTTTAAATGTCTTACTCATTAGGAGCGTGGCAATGTTCTCTGATGCAAATCAGAATTATCATTCTTACTGCTAGGAAGAATTAAAATCTTAGATCTCACCAACATCACTACCTTACATAGTTTTTCAGAAGAGGAAGCATTAATATTTCCACATGTCAGATGCAATGCCAAACATATTGGTACTGGCTAGCTTTCCTGTTCAAGGAAATAGCTAGCTTAAAATAATTTTCATGGTTTCTAAAGCAAAAAATGCTATTTACCTAGTTAATTTAAGCATCTTATTTTTATATAATTATTATTAAAAACTTTTTTAATAAAAGAAAAGAAAAAAGGGAAAGGATGGAGGGGGAATTGGGGGGAAAGGGATAGTAGATAGGTGTTTGTTGACTTCTAATCCTCTTTATCATGACTTATAGTCCATAATTCTCTTTTATTTCGTATTTCTTTTCTTCCTCTTGCTTTTTGTTTTCCCATGGATAAATAAGTTCCTTATTCATTCCACTTTATAATAATTTCCTCATTTTTCTTGTTTAACGTAATTTCTGTTTTAGATTTGTTTTGACCTTTTACTAATTGTTGTGTCAATCTGTCCATGCACATTATTTTTATCATTTTTGTCAGCCATTCCTTCAAGGTAGAGATTTTGTTTGCCTTCCAGTGTCTTGCGTACACAATTCTAGCCACAGTTGTTAAGTAGTTGAAGAGGATATCTTTATTTCTCTCTAATTTTAGCATCTTGTTGATGTACTTCAAATTATTTTCTGCATATGCAGTAAGTGAGATTGATTTCCAGACCTTTTCTCATTAATCACAGTTTTTCATACAGTAATGAAAGTTTTGAGAAAAAAACCCCACAAACCCATGGTGTGATGTGGGATTAAGGGGATTAAATGTTTGACATCACTCTTTTGTCTGTGCAAGAGCTCCATCAAAGAGTACAGCGAGTGGGTGTTAAAGCACTGGGCTATGAATGCATCCACGGGAAAGGAAAGAATGGATGAAAATGGAAATAAGAGACACGGCTTTATTGTATAGGTTTCTGAAGGTGAAACTACAACAGCTGGACACCATAGTCTTACAACATGGATTCTAAGGATTTATAAAACTGGAGGGATACAGGAAGATACCAAAGAAGGATGAAAACTGGGATGCTTTTGCCTCTTGCAGTCGGCAGTGCCTCTTCTGATCCAAATCCTCTTCGTCGTACAATACTTCCTAAAAACTGGAATACCAGAATGAAAGGCTACTAATGTGGGTGGACTGAACCTGTTTTTCTTCTGGTGATCGGAAGACATGGTCCTTGCAATCAAACTGTTGCTCTTCACCTGTATTTGGCCAACGTCTGTTTTAATCAATAGCAGCGATCATCACCACCGCCATTACCACCACCGTCATCCTCTAAGATCATTCATGAAAAGACATAATAGGTGAGCAAGACGGTCAATGTGTGGGCATCATGGCTACTGTTGTGTTTATGTGCACTCTGTGTGTCTGTTACTATCCTAAAAAAGTTTTCACTCCTAGGTTGAACTAAAGGGCTGTTTGATATGTTGGGTCAATATTGGAAACAATGCCAGCAGAAGAGTATTTGTAAGGAAAGGAGGCCAAATGTATCCACATTCTCACTCCATTTTTTTATCCGCTCCAATCAGATTTTATGTTGCAGAGGCTTTTCCCTAAGAACACAGCTAAGTGTTCTTTAATTTATGGAATTATTTGATCAGCATCTCCAAATCCAGTCCTATAAGCTAGTTGCCGGTAATATGTTTTATTTGGTTTCTAGTTCAGCACATGAATTGATTCAGATGTTAATGCTCTACCAAAACGGACTAGGGAATTATAAACAATCAACATCTGGACTAAACAATTCCCTTGGCAACTGCTTCTAGCTAGGACCCAAAACCTCTGGCCAAACATCAGTCCGCTCCACCCATATTGAGACTTGAATTATGCTATTGTTGTTGGTTGGGGCTTGTTTTATATTTTGTTATACTGTTGTTTTATGTTATTTTAAATTGATGTTATGCATTCTAATGTATGTTTTTAACTCTGTTGATTGGGCTTGGCCCCATGTAAGCCGCCCCGAGTTCCAAAAAGATTAGTACATAGCAAACAAGGTCACTTGGACATTTCCCAGGTGTCTAGGACTGTGTGATGTATCAACGAATAATGCGTACAGATCCCAGTAGGGCGGCCTTTTGCAGCTGACAGATGGTAATTTTGTCAGCACCGATTGTGTTCAAGTGCAGGCCAAGGTCTTTAGGCACTGCACCCAGTGTGCCAGAGTCTTTGCAGTTTGATCTTTAAATCCTCATATTGTGTCAGCTTTTCCAGTATTTGCACCCAATAAGGAGATATCTTGGAAATTCATATATGCTTCATACAAACCTTGTACAGATAAACTTTGGTAAAGGTTTCCCCTTGACATCAAGTCTAGTCATGTCTAACTCAGGGGGTGGTGCTCATCTCCATTTCTAGACTGAAGAGCCAGCTCCAAGATCATGTGGCCAGCATAACTGCATGGAGCGCTATTACCTTACCTGTTGATCTACTCACATTTGCACGTTTTTGAACTGCTAGGTTGGCAGGAGCTGGGCCTAACAGCAGGAGCTCACTCTGCTCCCCAAATTCGAACCAACAACCTTGTACAGATAGCCTGATGGTAATTTTATACAATATTTTAAATATTTTGGGGTATGAAACATGGATCTCCTATTACACTGTCATATGAGGCAGTTTGAAACAATAAGGCGGCTTCCTGTGTTTCTTCCAATGTGTCACTCACTGGGGATACGGAGCTGGTTCTGTTATTTCTTTGGCTGAGAACATTTCTACATATGTGATATAGTAGACAGATATATGTTAACACCCTTGCTGATGCCTAGATTGAAGTCATAATATTTGACACAGGAAAAGTTTCCTTAACAGACATCCTTGAAGAAACTCTGACTCGGGGGCTTAACACAAATCTTGAGGTTACAAGTTCATTCTTAACCTTGACATTGCTGTTGTTTTCCCTGATGAGATCTTAAGACCCAGTATCTTAAGAATTGATAGAGAGGAAATTATGAAGCTTAAAATACCGTCAAAGTAGTCAGATGTTGGCAGGCTAGTAAGAAAAGTATATACAATTGTCCCTGTCATACTATTTTGCCAAGAAACGATCTTTTTCTTTATCAGTAACCAAATATTTGTTGACAGTTCTCCCTTTACTTCTGAGACTAAATAAATCAGAGTTATTGGAACAGATGCAGGAAAGTCACTATATCTTTCTCAACACCTCAATTCAGGAAGGGAATTTAAAAGTCCTGGTACCTTGAAACCTTTCAACTGGGAAATAATCCTACTGATCATTTCCAAAGAAAAAGAACATGTTTTTAGTTGTATCCTGTTGATGATGAGTTTTGAGAAGTCTGTCCTAGGTGGAACCTAGCAGGAAAGGAAGAGTGAAGGGGAATAAAGGTGAAAACGGCAAGATACGCAGATTTACTCTTAAATGGCAATTTTTTTTCTTATGAATGAGAGGTTGGACACACATTTGTTCTACAACAGTGTTTCTCAACCTGGGGGTTGGGACCCCGGGGGGGGGGTCAAGTGGGGGTATCAGAGGGATCGGCAAAGACCACTAGGAAACACAGTATTTTCTGTTGTTCATGGGGGTTCTGTGTGGGAAGTTTGGCCCAAGCCTGTTGTTGGTGGGGTTCGGAATACTCTTTAATATAGGTGAACTATAAATCCCAGTAACTACAACTCCCAAATGTCAAGGTCTATTTTCCCCAAACCCCACCAGTGTTCACATTTGGGCAGATTGAATATTCATGCCAAGGTTGGTCCATCATTGTTTGAATCCACAGTGCTCTCTGGGTTTTGGATTTTCTTAGCCATTCAAGAACAAGTTTAACCAACACAAACTTTCCAGTATTTCAGTGGGAAATGTGGGCCTGCTTTTGGCTGATGAGATAGTCAAGTTCATTAGGATTGTTTTTGTGTGCCTTCAAGTTGTTTTCATACTCTGAGTCCTTGCTCTATAGTTTAGAGCGAGGGCCAAGAAAATGACCTTGGAGAGCTGCATCCGATCCACAGGCCTTAGTTCTGGGACCCTTGCCTAAAAACATGAGTATGCTAAGGGATCTAGGAGCACCCAAGACACTAAATGAGAGAATGAGGTTGGTAACATAAGATGCATCTGAAGAGGTAGACCTGGCCTAGAAAAACTCATGCTATGAACTTCATCTCCTCAATTCATCGCTGAGGTGCTACAAGGTAAGGTAAAGGTTTACCCTTGACATTAAGTCCAGTCGTGTCCGACTCTGGGGGGTGGTGCTCATCTTCATTTCTAAGATGAAGAGCTGGCATTGTCCATAGACACCTCCAAGGTCATGTGGCCAGCACGACTGCCTGGAGCGCCGTTACCTTCACGCAGAAGCGGTACCTATTGATCTACTCACATTTGCATGTTTTTGAACTGCTAGTTTGGCAGAAGCTGGGGCTAACAGCGGGAGCTCACCCCACTCCCTGGATTCGAACCGCCAACCTTCTGGTCAGCAAGTTCAGCTTTGCAAATTTATATTCCAGACTAATGTGGGTATGCCCGAATGCTAATGCCTTAAAACATAGTAGTTATCAAGCAAGCAACAAATTATATATTTTGAATTTTAGATCATAAACATTTCTGGATGAAGTTTACTCAGTTTATAGCCATTTTTGTTGAGATAAAAATAGATAGGAACAGTTCTAGCCTTGGTTGGGCTTAAAATATGCCTACTGAAATCAGTGGAACTTGACATTAGTCATTCTGACTTTGTCTCACTGGTTTTAGTTTATTTTCCAAGAAGAAAAAGGAAGAGAAAAACTTTGTTTTGAAGCCAGACATCATGAAGGTATGTTGTTGTTTATTTGTCAATCGCTTCCGACTCTTTGTGACCTCATGGACCAGCCCATGCCAGAGCTTACTGTCGGCCATAGCCACCCCCAGCTCCTTCAGAGTCAAGTCATCCATCCACCTTGTCCTTGGTCGCTCCTTCCTTTTTCCTTCCATTTTCCCCAGCATCATTCTCTTCTCCAAGCTTTCCTGTCTTCTCATTATGTGGCCAAAATACTTCATGAAGGTATAAGCTGGGCCAAAGCAATTATACTCTGTGTGTGTTCGTCCATGCATTATTCTAAAATGGTTTGCTCTGTGTGTACCAGTGTATGACTTCACTGCATGTTCCTGTAGCTTCTAAGCAGTTATATTTATGAGTGATTAATGGGTTTGATTTGCTTGTTTCCTTTTCACCAGAAACTCTAAAAGGGAATATTTACCAAGATCTATCTTTTCTCCATCCTTTTAATTATAGTTGAAACTGGGGGACCATTTTCAACTGGTCTCAAGATTGTTAGACACTTTGGAATCAGATAGTGGAATAATCATAACCTTTGTGAAAAGAACAGCCTGCCGATATGTTGCTAGTGACATGCAACTTCCATCGGATTAATAGTGTGGCCCAGTTCCTATCTCCCAAAGCCGTTTGTCTACATTCTCTCGCAAAGAAGATTTTAAAGCATTAACCAAAGTGTGTGTGTATGGCACAGAGAGAGAGAGAGAGAGAGAGATTGAGAGAGAGAGGAGAGGGAAGTAAGGGAAAGTATGACATTTAAAGGTTATGCTTTGGGGCACGAAAAATACTACTTTTTCAGTACAATAATTGTGGCATCCACACTTGACATGTGCAGCTGACAATCCCAAGTGAACAGTTATAGGACTACAGTCTTAAATGTAAAGTACACGTGGCAAAATATGTATTATGGGAATAAGTATTATTCGCTTCAATTAGGTTTATTCCTGGGTTTGTAGATGTAGGACTGCAAATTTAAAGAATCAATGGCTGATACATATGCAAGGATTGCACTTGAAATCCCACTGGGCACAGTGGAGCTTACTTCTAAGTAAGCATGCCTAGAATTTTACACTAAGGCTGCATTCCTATGCACTTGAAGTGCGTGGAATGAAAATAGCAGAAGCAAATAGCAAGCAAGCCCAAATGGACACAGTGGAATTTCAAAGTAAATATAAAGTTCTGCCAGAATAAGCACCCAGAAGTATTATTTATCTAAGTTTGACATATGAAATTACACTACTCTAGGTAACGTCACTCCATGCAGTCATGCTGGCCACATTACTTTGGAGGTGTATGTGGACAACTCCTGCTCTTTGGCTTAAAAATGGAGATGAGCACCACCCCCAGAATCGGACACGGCTAGACTTAATGTCAGAGGAAACCTTTACCTTTACTATTTATACCAAAATAAATAAATAGACCAAGTCATTACTATTTTTGGAGGATTTCACTGGCCAAATCACAATGCTTGTTTCTAGACACCCAATTTTCTGATCTTCTGCTATGGCTTCGTTATTGTGGTATCATAGACAGAGCATTGAACTTGG